ATGGTTATCTTGGTGCTTCTTATAATATCTCTATGTAAATTTTATTACAGAATTACATTACGAATTCTAGTTTTATAATAATTTGAATTTTGTTACAATAATATCACAAGTTATTATTTAACATAATATTATTGTCTTTTGTAGTGTGTAAGTACGTAAATGAATTCGGACTCGTTAATTTAATAAATAATCTCTTCATTCCTCGAGTGTACGATCTTTTTGGTTGAACGTCCGATTTAATTCTATTCTATTTTCCGCGAGTCTTTTTTTAATCGAATTATTAATTTTCGTTGCTAAATCGTATTAATACAACGATCATATGATTGAACATTGCGCGTTATTATTACACCATTCAATCGGTATTTGTAACGGAAAGATTTTACGCTGATTCTTTCTACTGCACCTTTAGTTTATAACATTATTGTTATAAAAAGTTTATAAGTAGAATTTATATTGCAAACTTAGTATATTTAAATTAATTTCAATTACTTTTATCAACTATTCTATGATACGGATGATACTTATATCAACGAGTCAAGCATATGACACGTGCTGCTCTAGCAATAAAAAAAAATATATATATATAACATATATGTATTTATATTATAATATTATAATGTATATAAAAAACGGGTACGTCAAGTATGCTGCTGCAGGAGATTTCTTCCTATCTTTGATTTTTCTGTAATTTTACGTAATTTGCTACTAGTTATCGAAACTCCTTTTTAATTTCTGCGGTCCTCATTACGCTATTTATTGCATTTCTTGTTTTTATTTTTTACGTATACATTGAAAATAATACAACATGGATTTTATTTGTTTAATTTGATACAATATTTTTTTCGAGGTATATTATTTTTTTTAATTTTTAATTCAATTACAATAAATATACTTGAAATAATATTTTGATTTTACTTCTTCTTGATAATATTATATTTTTAATTTATTAAATTAAATTTTTTAAAAATCATGTATACGTTAATACAATTTGAATTCTGTTAATTTAATTTGATACAATAGTTTTTTTCGAGGTATATTATTTTTTTTAGTTTTTAATTCAATTACAATTAATATACTCGAAATAATATTTTCATTTCACTTCTTTTGTTAATATTATATTTTTAATTTATTAAATTA